ATTGATGATGCAGGCACAAGCCATGACCTCTCCCTTCTCCAATCCTCAAGCCCCCTGAAAGGTTAATGAGGAATGTTATCAAAACATCAATATTGGGGCTGGGGTTGTAGCTCAATGGCAGAGTGCTTGCCTAGCATGTGTAAGGCACTGAGTTCAATTCTCAGCACCACATATAAATAAATAAAATAAAGGTCATTGACTATAAAAATATTTTTAAAAAATCAGTACTGGGCTGGAGGGGATGTAGCTCAGTGGGAGAGCACTGAGCCTAACATTTGCAAAGCCCTGAGTTCAATCCCTAGTACCACAAAAAAAAAAAAAAAAAAAAAAGCAGTGCCATACACATTACCTACCTCCCAACTTCTTTTATACCTATCAATGACTTCATCGATATTTAAGTCTTACAACTTCAAATCTTATTAGTCTCACTTCTTTACATCCCATGAATCCCTATTTTTATGCTGACTTGAACAGTTTTTTAATTCCATTTCTAGTTTGACTTCTACAAACCAAGGTTTTATTACTTTGCAATTCAATCCAGGTCAGCCTTCCACCTGGCCATCCTGACCATAACTGTACTACATGTCATCACAAGATTTTAAGTGTCTTAGAATTGTGATTCTGAAACACTCATGTGTATTTAAAGGTTTCATGAGCCTGAAACAAAAGAGAAAACACAGGATGAAGTAGTTGAAAGTGCATATGGTAAGCTACAGGTTGTCAATAATTTTTCTAAGAATAACTGCTCTTTAATTGTCCTTCCTAATTTTTCTGGTATTAAAAAATAAAAACTTAAGCAAAGTGACTGTAACACATGGCAGATTTTTAGCCAGGAATGGTGGTGCTTGCCTGCATCCAGGCTACCTGAGAGGCTGAGGCAGGAGAATCACAAATCCATGTCTAGCCATGGTAACTTAGCAAGACCCCATCTCAAAACTGGAAAAAACAATTTTTTTTCATGATGTTGAGGATTGAACCAAGGCAAGGGCTCTACCACCAAGTTATATTCCCAGCTCTCAAAATAATTTGTTTTAGGGCTGGGGATATAGCTCAGTTGGTAGAGTACCTCCTCACATGCATAAGGCCCTGGGTTCAATATCCAGCACCAAAAATAAATAAAGTGTTGCAGCCAAACACAATGGCACTCACCTATAATCCCAGTGACCTGAGAGGCCAGAGGGAAAAGGATCCCAAGTTCAAGGCAGTCTCAGCCACTCAAAGAGACCCTGTCTCAAAATTTTAAAAATACTACAAAAGAAAAGGGCTGAGGGTGCAGTGGTAATGAAACCCTGGGTTCAATCCCCAGTTTTCCAATCAAAAAAAGTGCCAGGGATGGAGCTCAGTAGTAGAGCATTTGCCTAGCATGCACAAGGAAGGCCTTGGGTTTAATCCACAATAAGGGAGAAAAAATAGATATAATTGGATTTTGGTATTGGTTGTGTCACTCACTAGTTTTGTATACTTCAAAGTTTCTTAGCATATCTAAACTTGTTTCTTTATGTGTAAAACAGCAACAATGGTGTATGCACAGGGGTGTTATGAGATTAAATGAATTAATGAACGTCAAGTATTCAGAGCAGTCCTTAGTGGACAGGAGGTCTTCAAATTTTAGCTATTTTTTTTTTTTTTAAAGAGAGAGTGAGAGAGGAGCGAGAGAGAGAGAGAATTTTTAATATTTATTTTTTAGTTCTCGGCGGACACAACATCTTTGTTTGTATGTGGTGCTGAGGATCGAACCCGGGCCGCACGCATGCCAGGCGAGCGTGCTACCGCTTGAGCCACATCCCCAGGCCCAGCTATTTTTCTTTAAGCACTTGTATACCAGGCCTAAGCTAGGCATTAGGTACACAGGGGTGAGCTTAAACATGGTCCTGGTCCTGTAAGAACAGGGTATAAACAGAAAACATACTTCTATGAAATCAAAATTTGAGTCACAGCCACTAAGAAAATACTCTGTGCTACAGGGTTCTAATGTGACTAGAATAACCAGGAAAAATCTTTCCAAAGACACAGTATTTAATCCAAGTCCTGAAAGATAATCAGGAGATAATAATAGAAGAGGGTAAGGGATGCAAAAGCAGTATATAGACAAAAGGAACTGTGTTGATCTCTGATTATCAATTATATTTTCTTTAACATAAGGGTGATCATGCCACATGCAAGTGCTTTCCTTATAATTTCATTCTTCTTTTTATTTATTTATTTATTTTTGGTTACCAGAGATTAAACCCAGGGACACTTACCTCTGAGTCACATCCCCAGCCCTTTTAATATTTTGAGACAGGGCCTCGATAATTTGCTGAGGCTGGCTTTGAACTTGCAATCCTCCTGCCTCAACTTTAATTGTGTCTGGCCTTCTCATCTCATTCTTAAGGTATATGATATGGAAATACCACAATTTAACTAACTCCCTTTGTTCCCCTTTCTTTGTGTTAATGGGGTATTGAACCCAGGATCCCACAAGTGCTAGTCAAGAGCTTTCCACTGAGCTACATCCTCAGCCTTTTATTTTAGAGACTGGGTCTTATTAAGTTGTCAAGACATATTTATACATTATTTATGTAACTGATTCTCAGATTTCTGGAAGTTGAAACAAAAGAGTATTTAAGTTAATAATAAGGAAAAAAAAAAAAGCCTGTTGCTTTTGGGAAAAAATGTAGAGACCTCAGAGACCTCCATTATCTGACCTGTCTCACACTTTTTATTTATTTGTTTGTTTTGGTAGTTGCAAATGGACAGAATGTCTTTGTTTAATTGGTTTATTTTTATGTGGTGCTAAGGATTGAACCCAGTACCTCACACATGCTAGGGAAGGGCTCTGTCACTGAGCTACAGCCCCAACCCTGTTTCACATCTTAATAAGAACTAGATATTTCTTTATATTTTCCAATACATCATACAACTCCCCAGCTATTTTTTTTTTTTTTTTTTTGGTCTCATGGATTGAACTCAAGGGCACTCAACACTGAGCCACATTCTCAGTCGTATTTTGTATTTTGGTTAGACAGGATTTCACTGAGTTGCCTAGCGCCTCCTGTTTGTGAGGCTGGCTTTGAACTAGCGATCCTCCTGCCTCAGCCTCCTGAGCTGCTGGGATTACAGGCATGCGCCCATGGTTTCCCCAGCTAGTCTTTAAGCTTAAGACACAAGTCATTCATTTCTTCGACATCTCTCCCATCTTGCCCAGCCCTCATATTTTCATGTATGTTCCACACCCGAAGCACACCCACCCTCCACAGATTCGTTGAAACGGGTACCTACCTCAGATCATTCTTGAGTTCCACGACCACATCCTTGCCCACAAGGGACTTGAAAAAGGAGTAGAAGAGCTATCGGGCAAGAGGGGCAAAACCATCACATTGGAAGGGACATGATAGGGAGGAGTGTCCCCTGCCAGTATTTTCAAATACTGATATTAGTGGCCCCATTGTATCTTTGGCAGTTTTCAAAAATTCAAATACTCGGTTGAAAGGGGTGAGAGGCTGGATCCCAAATAATTCTACACACCTCAATGAGTCCCTTATCTAAAGCCCCAGACACACTGCTCTGACTCCTTCGGTTCTCGGGCCCGCTCAGCCTGTTCTGAGGTCCCTACCCACTCCTTTCGGTAAACTGCAAAAGGTATGCCACTGGCACGGTCCCGAAGTTTTATCTCCGGCGGGAAAGTGCTCCTTGAGGTTGTCCCCGCCAACTTTCGCTGGGATTCATTGGGATTTTTCTCTCATAGGAAAAAACCCATTTGCTCCCAGTAGTCTCCTCCGAGAACTTGAGGCGCACGAACTAAGGATGGAGGGAAAAGCTCCGGGGCCTAATTCCAGCCCAGAGGGACAAATACTAAAGTCCCATCCCGCGCCCAACTGTCCTAAACACCCGCGCCCCCCGCAGGCGCTCCCTTGTGACGTCACGGTACCCACCATGGTGCTGGCGCCGCGCGCTGCCGGCCGTACTGAGAAGGAAAGGGCCGGGTGCCGCGGGCCGGAGGCCGGGCCAGAACCAGAGCGCGAGTCCGCGCGTGGGGCGGGGCGGATTCACGCAGGCGCAAGGGAAGCGCTGAGAAAGCTTGGAGTAGACCAAGAGAGCGCAGGGCTCTCGTGGCTCGGAGGGGAGAGGGTAAGGTACAGCCCAGGAGGACTGGAAGGCAGGAAAGAGGCGGGGCTTCCTGTCTTCCGACTTCCTCCCAGGGCGAGTCAGCACCTACTGCGCAGGCGCAGGCAAAGCGGCCGCCGGGGGTTAGGAAGGTTCCAAGGGTTTTTTTTTCTGTCACTTTTGCGGGAAATAGGATGTTTGTTAGGATGTTTTAAAAAATTCATCGCTTTGTGCTACGTGAAATTTAAAATGATTCCCCCAAGATCAGGGGAGTCTTTTTTATCAAAAAAGTTCCCAGTAAATAGATTTCTCCTAGCCTTAGTTACTGGTTTTTATTCTTTTGTTCTTTTTGTTTGTTTTAGGTGCTGGGGATTGAATCCAGGGCCATAGGTTGCTAAGCTTGTGCTCTCCACTGGCTTACACCCCTAGCCTCAGTCTCCATATTTACATACTTTTGCCAAGGGCTGTTCTATAAAGGATTAGAATTAAACAGACTGTGGCTCCAGGGTGGCAATAACCCACTGTAATGTTTCACTTCCAGACACAAATGCAATTAAATATGTAATATGATAGCTGATAATATTTTTTCATGGAATAAGACTATAAATTTTCCATTTCTCATCTTGCATAAATGTAAATTTGTCAGGAGTTTGTTGAAATCGTTTCTGCATGTAAAGGACATAATGGATTCTGTGAGTTGAGCCCAGCCACAAATACTGGATCTCCTGGACCCCACCTATAATGAATGGGGACATCAAACAGGGTTTGCACCCTCACCCCCAGCTGAATCTTAAACCTGCATGTTACTGGTTATGAGAAGTAACCATAGTAAACAACTGCTCCATTTAGGCTAAAGGTACCTGAGGATTGAGAAATATTTTTTGTTTGAAACAATGAGCTCATGAAAATCCAAATACTTTGCCCTTACCAGTTTAATCGTTCACAGTGAGCTCACAATCAGAGAACATATGTTCTCTATGAACTCTCCTGTTCTTTACTTTTCAAGTTACACTCATAGCCTAAAGATACCAGAAGTAATTTCCTTTAGGAACAAATTTACTGACAATCATCCACACAGGAAGGAGAAAGCTGGGGTGGCTGGAAATAAATAACAGATAATCAAATCCATCAAATGGTTCAAAGAGGGGCCAAGTTTTCCTAATAGTCCATTTCAGAGTTACAGACAAGACGGAGTATGAAAAGATGATGAATGAGACGCCTCCATTAGAATCCCAAAGTAATGTTAACTTAGGTTCAGTTCCAGTCATGAATCATAATTGGTGTTTGAAAATGAAGAGAATAAAATTCACCTATAGGCACCCTAGAGCCCTCCAGTTCCAGAAAAGATTAATCTACTTCTTCAATGGTAGGGCCAGTGGCAGGCCTTCCAGGTGTATATCCTGTTCCACAGGTAGGCCCAGTGCATCCTCCCTGGTAGAGCTTTGTGATGATGGGGTTACACACCTGCTCCAATTCCTTTCTCTTATGATCATACTCATCTTTCTCAGCGAGTTGATTGGCCTCCAACCAGGAAAGGACTTCATTGCATTTACTCAAAATTTTCTTTTTATCAGATTCACTAATCTTGTCCTTCAAACCTTCATCACTCACAGCACTCTTCATGTTAAAAGCATAGGATTCTAGAGCATTTTTGGCAGCAATTTTCTCCCTCTGCATCTCATCTTCAGCTTTATATTTCTCTGCATCCAAAACCATGCGCTCGATCTCCTCCTTGGTCAGGCGGCCCTTGTCATTGGTGATGGTGATCTTATTGGCCTTGCCCGTGCTCTTGTCCATGGCTGTGACATTAAGAATTCCATTGGCATCAATGTCAAAGGTCACCTCAATCTGAGGAACTCCCCTGGGTGCAGGAGGTATTCCAGTCAGGTCAAAGCGCCCCAGTAGGTTGTTGTCACGTGTCATAGCCCGTTCACCCTCATATACCTGGATCAGCACCCCAGGTTGGTTATCTGAATATGTGGTGAAGATCTGTGTCTGCTTAGTGGGGATGGTGGAATTACGCTTAATCAGCACAGTCATCACGCCCCCAGCTGTCTCTAACCCTAGAGACAGAGGGGCCACGTCCAACAAAAGCAGATCCTGTACCTTTTCAGATTTGTCACCCATCAAAATGGCTGCCTGTACTGCAGCCCCATAGGCTACTGCCTCATCAGGATTGATGCTCTTGTTGAGATCACGTCCATTAAAATAGTCCTGAAGCAGTTTCTGCACCTTAGGGATGCGAGTGGAGCCCCCGACTAAAACAATGTCATGGATTTTAGCCTTATCCATCTTGGCATCTCGAAGAGCTTTTTCCACAGGTTCCAGGGTACCCCTAAACAGGTCTGCACACAGCTCTTCAAACCGGGCTCTGGTGATAGATGTGTAGAAGTCAATGCCTTCATAAAGTGAATCAATTTCCAGATTGGCTTGGGTGCTGGATGACAGGGTCCTCTTGGCTCGCTCGCAAGCGGTACGCAAACGCCTCACGGCTCGCTTGTTCTGGCTGATGTCTTTCTTGTGTTTCCTTTTGAACTCCTCTACAAAGTGGTTCACAAGCCTGTTGTCGAAGTCCTCTCCACCTAGGTGGGTGTCCCCAGCTGTAGCCTTTACTTCAAAAATCCCATCATCTATGGTCAGGATGGATACATCAAATGTGCCTCCACCCAAATCAAAGATGAGTACATGTCGCTCTCCCTGACCTGCCTTATCTAAGCCATACGCAATGGCAGCAGCTGTGGGTTCATTGATGATTCTTAGCACATTGAGTCCTGCAATCACACCTGCATCCTTGGTGGCCTGGCGTTGAGAGTCATTGAAATAGGCCGGTACAGTGATCACAGCATTGGTGATCAGGTGGCCTAAAAAAGCCTCTGCAGTTTCCTTCATCTTAGTCAATACCATTGAAGAAATTTCTTCAGGGTAGAAAGCTTTTTTCTCCCCTTTATAGGACACCAGCACCTTGGGCTTGCCTCCTTCATTGATCACTTGAAAAGGCCAAAGTTTCATATCTGACTGCACAACAGGATCATTAAATTTCCTGCCAATCAGACGTTTGGCATCAAAGACAGTGTTCTGAGGATTCATGGCTACCTGGTTTTTGGCTGCATCCCCAATAAGCCGTTCTGTATCCGTGAAGGCCACATAGCTGGGGGTGGTGCGGTTGCCCTGGTCATTGGCAATGATCTCCACCTTGCCATGCTGGAACACCCCTACACAAGAATAGGTGGTACCCAAGTCGATGCCTATGGCTGTTCCCTTAGCAGCAGCCATGGGTTTCCGAGGCCTGTGGAAGAGAATGAGATACTGTTTTGGCAGAGTTCTATTTATTTATTTAGAGTAACAAATGATCATTCAGTTTTCTAAAAAAACACAACTATGAGAATAAACCTAGCCAAGACTCATGAGCCTTTGAAATACAGGTAGAAGCCCTGGACACAGCCTGCAAAATGTTTTTCTTCATAACACACATTTCTAGGGTTTCATGTTTTGTCACTTCTTACAGGGGAAATAAAACCAACTAAAGGGCCAGGTTTGTGGCTCAGTGGTAGAGTGCTTGCCCCTAGCATGTGTGAGGCACTGGGTTCAATCCCTGGTACCATATAAACAAACAAACAAACAAACAAATAAATAAATGTATTATGTCCACCTACAATTAAGAAAAAATATTTTTAAAAAAGAAAGAAAAACCAATTAGAAACTGCTGGGCATGGTGGCACACATCTCTAGTCCAGCTGAGACAGGAGGACTACAAGTTCAAGACCAGCTCCAGTAATTTCGTGAGACCCTGTCTCAAAAAAATAAAAAGGAGTCACGTGTTGTGTTGCATGCCTGTAATCCCCACAGCTCAGCTCTGGAGGCTGAGGCAGGAAGATCAAGAGTTCAAAGCAAAAGCAAGGCACTAAGTAATTCAGTGACACCCTGTCTCTAACTAAAATATAAAATAGGGCTGGAGATGTGGCTCAGTGGCTGAGTGTACCTGAGTTCAATCCCTGGTACCCAAAAATATAAAATAAAAAGGACTAGGGATATGACTCAGTGGTTAAATGTCTATAGGTTTAATCCCCAGTACCAAAACAAAACAACAATAAAAAACTAGTCAACTGGCAAAACAACACAGGGGACATGCACAGTTAACCACCTTCCTACTGCCAAATTTGCTCCCTATTCAATCTGAACACTGTCCATCAGACAAGGTTGCAATCTTGAAATCAGTGATGATCTTGGCCTATATTCATTTTGAAGCTATATCCTATGTTAACAGGAATCCATTTTATCATCATCAATTTAATGTAGCTTTCAAAAGGTGTCAGGCATATTCTTAGGAATCATCCTGCCATGGTCCTTGCTTTCAGGTTCTGAATGGGATGCTGGCACAGCTTCTTTTTCTGAACCATGGGGAACCCATGAATTGTTCCTTCTATCTGTGGCCTGAAGATACAGTTTAATTTTGGATCCATCACCTGAGAAACAGTCTTCTCAATTCTTGCTTCTAACATCCCTAAATGAACCACATTCTGCTTCAGGCAATTTCAAAATTGGTTCATTGTAGGATTCCAGTCCTGCCTATCCAGTTGTGTTGACACTAAATTATACACTTTATGCTTCAGTTTTTTTTTTTAAGTATTTTTAGTTGTAGATGGACACAATATATTGGTGCGGAGAATCAAACTCAGTGCCTCACACATGCTAGGCAAGCACTCTACCACTGACCCCAGCCCTATGCCTCAGGTTTTTGTTAAGATAATTTAGAGTCCTATCAGGTAATTCTGGGGAAGCTGTCCATAAGACCCTGGTTCTTGGAGGGCTGGGCATTGTGGCACATGCCTGTAATCCCAGTGGCTCAGGAGGCTGAGGCAGAAGTTCAAATCAGATTGAAAGTTCAAAGCCAGCCTCAGCAACCTCAACCCAGCGAGACCCTGTCTCTAAATAAAATGCAAACCAGGGCTGCGGATGTAGCTCTGTGGTGGAATACCCCTGAGTTCAATCCCCAGTACCAAAAAAAAAAAAAAAAAAAGATGATGATGATGATCCCAGTTCTTGGGCTGCTACATGAGGACAGCCATGAAACCCTACTGGGTCACCAGTAGGCAGTGAGGCCAGGCTGGTTCATGTAACCCCCATACCTGAAGGTGGCCCTCACTGTTGCTGAAGGCTGGAGAGGGGTCTGCCCTGCTTCCCTCAACCATGGGTATATGATTTCTTCTCCAAATGAGGGCCCAGGTTGTGCAGAAGTGACAGAGGACACAAAAGCAGGTGGCAGTGGTGACAGTGGTGAGAGAGTGTGGAGGTGGAAGTTTCTGAGGCAGAGTGGTGTATTTTTTAATTTGGGGGGTAAAATATACATAAAACATAGCATCTTTTTTTTTTCCTGGTACCAGGGATTGAACCTGGGGCACTTAACCACTGAGCCACATTCCCAGCCTTTTTTAATATTTTATTTGGAGACAGGGTTTTGCTGAGCTGCTTAGGGCATTGCTAAGTTGCTGAGGCTGGCTTTGAACTTGAGATCCTCCTTCCTCAGCCTCCCTATCTGCTGGGATTACAGATGTGTACCACTGTGCCTGGCTCATCTTCACAATTTTTAAGGGTAGCATTCACTAGTAAGGTTTTTTTTTTTTTTT